ATAGTGAGACTCATGCCTTTTAGGGGTCTCACACAGGAGTGTTCCCCACATTTATACTGTGATTTTATTTTTTAATCTGTGAATAAGGTGAGAGGTATGAGCCAAAGTTTTTGTTGTTGTGTTGTATATGACTGTTTAGTAGTTCCAGAACGGTTTGTTATGGAAAAGAATCTGTTCTCTCTGAAATTGTCTTTGTACGTTTATCAAAAAAATTAATTGACCATATATTTGTGAGTCTATTTCTACATTCTTAATTTTGTTTCATTTATGCGTTTATCTCTCCTTTCATGAATAACACAGGTTTTTTGATTGTAGTAGCTTTTAGTTTGATCTTGAAATCAGGTAGTGTGAACCCTTCAACTTTGCTCTTTTTCAAAATTGTCTTGGCTATTAGAATTCCTTTGTTTTTCCATATAAATTTTAGAATATGATTAAGATTTCTATAAAAATGCTAATATTGTTTTAATTGGATTGCATTGAACCTATAGATCTGTTTTAGAATAATCGACATTTTAGCAATATTGAGTCTTTTAATCCATGAACATGGTTTATCTCTCTGTTTATTTAGGTTTTCTCTTTTCTTTTCTCTTCTTTTCTTGCTTTCTCTCTCTTTTATTCTTTTTTTTTTTTTTTTTTTTGAGACGGAGTTTCGCTCGTTACCCAGGCTGGAGTGCAATGGCGCGATCTCGGCTCACCGCAACCTCCGCCTCCTGGGTTCAGGCAATTCTCCTGCCTCAGCCTCCTGAGTAGCTGGGATTACAGGCACGTGCTACCATGCCCAGCTAATTTTTTGTATTTTTAGTAGAGACAGGGTTTCACCATGTTGACCAGGATGGTCTCGATCTCTTGTCCTCGTGATCCACCCGCTTCGGCCTCCCAAAGTGCTGGGATTATAGGCTTGAGCCACCGCGCCCGGCCTCTCTTTTATTCTTTTGAGACTGGGTCTTGCTCTATTACCCAGGCTGGAGTGCAGTGATGTGATCATTGCTCACTGTAGCTCAACCTGTCAGGCTCAAGTAATATACCCAACTCAGGCTCCCAAGTAGCTGAGACTACAGACATACCAGATGGCCGGCTAATTTTTGCATTTTGTACAGATGGGGTTTCAACATGTTGCCCAGGCTGGTCTCAAACCTCTGGCTCAAGTGATCTACCCACCTTGGCCTCCCAAAATGCTGGGATTACAGGTGTGAGCCACCGCACCTGATCTATTTAGGTTTTCTTTTATTTCATCAGTGTCTTGCATTTATCACATACAGATCCTGGAGATATCTTATTAGATTTATAACTAAGTATCTCATGATTTTTTATCATATTATAAGTGGTACTGTTTTTGTTTTTGTTTTTGTTTTTTGAGATAGGGCCTCACTCTGCCACTAGTGGCACAGTTTGGAGTCCAGTGGCACGATCTGGTCTCACTGCAACCTTCATCTCCCAGGTTCAAGCGATTCTTTTGCCTCAGCTTCCCTAGTAGCTGGAACGACAGGCACCCCCAACTGTGCCTGGCTAGTTTCTTTATTTTTAGTAGAGATGGGATTTCACCATGTTGGCCAGGCTGGTCTTGAACTCCTGACCTCGTGATCTGCCCACCTTGGCCTCACCAAAGTGCTGGGATTACAGGCATGAGCCACTGTACCTGGCTCAAAAAGTAGCTTTGTCTTTACATATAAAATTTGGAATATAATTAAGATTTCTACAAAAAATGCTACCATTGTTGTGTGGTGGCACATGCCTGTAGTCCCAGCCACTCCGGAGGCTGAGGCATGAGAATCACTTGAATTCAGGAGGTGGAGGTTGCAGTGAGCCGAGACGACACTACTGCACTCCAGCCTGGGCAACAGAGTGGGACTCTTGTCTAAAAAAAAACGTGAAATAGCCTATGTTTCCTATTCCATCTCCAGGGGGGAATGTGTGTGAGATGAGGTTTATGTTTTTAGTAAAATATGGACCAATTTAAATAAAATCTGTCATGATACTGTGGATCATTCATTCAGCAACCATTTATTAACCACCTGCTATTTATAGATTAGAAAGTATTTGGATATAAAAATTAATAAAATCTGTTACTTTTTTCATAATCTAAAGCAGGAGTGTCCAATCTTTTGGCTTCCCTGGGCCACATTGGAAGAAGAATTGTCATGGGCCACACATGAAACACACTAATACTAACAATAACTAATGAGCTGAAATTTTTAAAAATGCAAAAAAATCTCATAATGTTTTGAGAAAGTTTATGAATTTATGTTAGACTGCACTCAATGCCATCCTGGACCACATGTGGCCTATGGGCCATGGGTTGGACAAGCTCAATCTAAGGTGTGACTGGCTAAGCATATAAGGAAGACAGTTGAATATTTTTTTCCCACCTCAAGATAATTGAGATATCTGATAGAGATATGTAAGAGGTACAATGGGAGTTTGCTAATAGCTGGTTTAATTGTTATTATTATTATTTTAGAGATGGATCTCACTATGTTGCCTAGGCAGGAGTGCAGTGGCTATTCACAGGCACGATCCCACTATTGATCAGCACAGGAGTTTTAACGTGCTCCATTTCCAACCTCAGCCTATTCACCCCTCCTTAGGCAACCTGATGGTCCCCTGCTCCCGAGAGATCACCATACTGATGCAGAACTTAGTGCAGACACTCAATTGGCATAGTGCACTACAGCCCAGAACTCCTGGACTCAAGCGATCCTCCAACCTCAACCTTCTGAGTAGCTGGGACTACAGGTATGCACTGCTGTGCCCGGTGGTTTAATTATCTAATTACATAATCTGTTAATTGTATATCTGGCTTTAACCTATGAACCCTTTATTAATCTATGAACCTATACTGCATCAGGCAAATCCAGTTGGTTTTGCCTTCATGCTAATTCTCCTGTTTTACTTTCCATGTGATCTCTCTGCTGACAAACTTGTTTCCCTTTCATACGTTCAATGTACTAAATAGCCAGAATGAGATTTAAAAAATGTAAATCAGATTAAGGTACTTTCTTGCTTAGAACTCTCCAGTGGTTTCTCATCATATTAGGATAAAAATCCTTGCCAAGGTTCTACAAGGCTCATATGACCTTACCCTACCTCCTTCTCTTCTCTCAGCGCTCTCTCATGCTTATCCCATATGCTTTAGCCACAAGAGCACAGTAGATAGTCTTTTTTCTATTCTTTAAACACAGCAGGCCTCTGTGTACAACTGGGCCTTTGCAATTATTGTTCCTGCTTTCTGAAACATTATGCCTGCAGACCTTCACATAGCTATTCAAATTTCTACTTAAGTGGTAATTCCTCAGCTTGGCTTTCTTTGATCACTCAGTCTCCAAGTGTTTCCCCATACCCTTCCAAGTACTTAGGACTTCTTGTCATTAATATATTTATTCTGTCATCTGTCTTCCTCACTATAATGTAAACCATAGGCTTGTGGGGACTTTTACCTTCTTGTTCAATGTGTATCTTCAAGGTTTGGAACAGTACCTCACATATTCAGGCTGCTCCGAACATATTGGTTGAATGAATAAATAACTTGACACAACTGCTCATAGAGCTTATCGCTGCTTGAAGTTATGATTTTCCTGTACTTTGTTATACTTTATTGCCTGTTCCTCCCACTTGCCCTACTAGAGCAGAAACTTGTTTGCCTCGTTTATTTCTGTATCTCTGGAGTCTAGAGCAGTTCTTGGCCTATACCAGGGGTGCTGTCAGTAAATACAGCAGCCTCAACCACAGTTTTGCTTTCACTGGTTTCATTTACTTGAGGTCAATCACAGTCCTAAAATGTTAAATAAAAATTTTCAGGAATAAACAATTCATAAGTTTTAAATAGTGTGCCACTCTTAATAGTGTAATGAAATCTCCTGCTGTCTGCTTCATCCTGCCTGAGGCACGAATTACCTATCCCTTTGCCAGCAGCATATCCACTCTGTCTATGCCACCTGCCTGTTAGTCACTTAGTAGCTATCTTATCAGTTATCAGATTGACTGTATCGGTATTGCAGGGCTTGTGTTCAAGTACCCATTATTTTACTTAATAATGTCCCCAAAGTTCAAAGGCAGTGATGCTGGCAATTCCAATATGCCAAAGAGAAGCCATAAAGTGCTTCCTTTAAGTGAAATGGTCAAAGTTCTTGACTTAAGGAAAGAAAAGAAACCATGTGAGACTGCTAAGATCTATGGCCAGAACCAGCATTCTATCCTTGAAATTGTGAAACAGGACAAAGGAATTTGGCCGGGCGCGATGGCTCACGCTTGTAATCCAGCACTTTGGGATGGCGAGGTCGGTGGATCACCTGAAGTCAGGAATTCAAGACCAGCCTGGCCATCATGGTGAAACCCTATCTTAAAAAAAAAAAAAAAAAAGGCCAGGTGCGATGGCTGAAGCCTGTAATCCCAGCACTTTGAGAGGCTGAGGCGGGTGGATCACGAGGTCAAGAGATCGAGACCATCCTGGTCAACATGGTGAAACCCCGTCTCTACTAAAAATACAAAAAATTAGCTGGGCATGGTGGCACTGTAATCCCAGCTACTCAGGAGACTGAGGCAGGGGAATTGCCTGAACCCAGGAGGCGGAGGTTGCAGTGAGCCGAGATCGTGCCATTGCACTCCAGCCTGGGTAACAAGAGCGAAACTCTGTCTCAAAATAAATAAATAAAATAAAATAAAATAAGAAATAATAAAATAAAATGAAATTAGCTGGGCATGTCAGGAAGCAGAGGTGGGAGGATGCTTAAGCCCAGCAAGGAATTCGAGGTTGCAGTGAACTCTATCACACCACTGCACTCCAGCCTGGGCGACAAAGCAGGACCTCAGTTCTCTAAAAGTGTGAGTAAATACTTGTTGACAAATTGCTTGTCACCATTTCTGGAAATAATCGTATTTATGGCAGAGGCCCTGCCCACATCTTTGATACGTTCTTGTGCTAATGAACTACAATTTCCAGCATGCATCAGAATTAGGGCCGTGGAGTTTTAAAACATGGACTACAACTCCCGGCATGCCGCTCCGGGTTCGAGGACCGCACGCCCCCGCCAGCCGGCTAAGGGTCCATCAGGGGCGGGTCGGGGCAACCGAGCGGGTTTGACGGAAGGAGCGGCGGCGACGGAGGAGGAGGATGGAGGCGGTGGTGTTTGTCTTTTCTCTCCTTGATTGTTGCGCGCTCATCTTCCTCTCGGTCTACTTCGTATCCTTGCCTGAGGCGGGCAGGGAGGGGCCTTGCCGGGGAACAGGGCTGAGGGTGGGCCAGTTGGGAACCGGGGCAGGTGTGTGGGACTAGGAGGCGCCCGGCGGCGGGCGTGCGCTTCTTGGGAGCTGGCTCCGCCGGGGCAGTGGCGCGGGACCGGAGGCAGAGAGGAGAGGCCGGCTGCCCTACCCGGTGGGCCCTGCTGCCCTGCACCCGCCTGCCCTGCCTGGGTCGCCGGCCGCCCGTCGCCGGGGTCCGAGTGGGCCTCTCTCAGCGCGCCCCGGCTCGGCCTGCTGGCCTGCGCTCCTCCGGTCCCCGCGGCGTGTGGACCAGCCCTGCCGGAGGCACGATCGCTCTCGGGAGAGAAGGGTCGCCGTTTTGCTGGGACAGTCCGCGCGCCCTGCTCTTCGTCGGATACTGGGGGTCCCCAGGGCGGTCGCGTGCGACACTCGGGTGCCGGGACGAGTGCGAGCGATTTGCCTCCAAGAGGGCGTTGTTCCTCGGGCAACGCCCCCGGCACCCGCCCTTTTGTTCTGGCGGTGTTGGTACTTGCAGGGACCTTTCTCATCTAGGAGTTGACTCATTCACCAGAGGAGCAAAGTTGCTTCCTTTACTGTGTCGTTTCGTAGTGAGTGTTGGAAAGGAGTTATTAAATCACAACTATCTACAAAGTGATTATTTTGGTGGAAAGGAGTTATTTTAACAACTATCTACAAAGTGATTATTTTGGTTGTCCCCAGCGGTTGCAGATCTGTAAAATCTGTAACTCCACGTGCTGTAATTCCCAGTTCTCAGCTTTAACATTTTTTTCTATCGATCCATGTTAAGACTTAAGTATTTTCTGTAGCTATGCACATTACATTATTCAAACTGTATTTTCCAGAGCAATAAATGGTGGTTGAATGTAGCACTCTACCCAATGTTGTATTGCACAATCCAGTTTTAAGTAATTAAATATAAGATAGAAAAAAAGTATGAGGAGCTAGGCATTTCATTTTCGTTTCTTGGAAATCACATGTACCTGTTTCTGATCGGATTAAACCATTTGTTTGCTAGAGCATTCAGGCTTTAGGATAGTTGTACAGAGTGTATGTTCAGTGCAGTTTCATACTTTATTGTGGACTGGCAACCTGTTGTAGTGGAAAGGACAAAATTTGGAATCAGGTTTCCCTGCTCAGCTAGTTCTTTGCTATGCATTATTTCCCTTAGCCTCAGTTTTCTGATCTTTAAAATGGGAAATGTTTATTTCCTAGATATGCATAATGAGAATGTTGCTCAGCACTCTAGCACAATGCCTGCCCCATAGCTAATGTTCAGTAAATATTGCTTTGCCTGCCGGGCGCGGTGGCTCACGCCTGTAATCCCAGCACTTTGGGAGATCGAGGTGGGCAGACCACGATGTCAGGAGTTCAAGACCAGCATGACCAACATGGTGAAACCCTTTCTCTACTAAAAATACAAAAATTAACTGGGCGTGGTGGCACATGCCTGTAATCCCAGCTACTCAGGAGGCTGAGACAGGAGAATCGCTTGAACCCTGTAGGTGGAGGTTGCAGTGAGCCGAGATCTGGCCACTGTACTCCACCCTGGGCATCAGAGCAAGACTCTGTCGAAAAAAAAAAAAAAATTGCTCTGCCTTCGTGTTCTCCTCCTCCCCAGTTGAGCAGCAGTTTGTACTTTGATGATTTCTAACAGGCAAGATTTCTGAGTTTTGTTAGGTTTAGGGAGCTGATTGAAAGGGCAGCATCAGTTGCTTAAGTTTTGATGACCTATGCCCCTCTTATGATATAAGGAACTAGAGCAAGTTTGTATAACCCATGGCCCCCAGGCCGTATGTTGCCCAGGACAGCTTTGAATGTGGCCCAACACAAATTTGTAAACTTTCTTAAAACATCGTGATGTTTTTTGGCTGATTTATTTTTTTTAAGCTCATCAGCTGTCATTAGTGTTAGTGTATTTTATGCATGGCCCAAGACAGTTCTTTCAGTGTGATCCAGGGAAGCCAAAAGATTGGACACCCCTGAACTAAAGCTTACACTCATAAATGAAACTGGGTTTTTTCTTTTTGCAGTCTGGAAAGTCAGGCTTGATAATTTGAAATAGCCCTGGTTTACACCAATTTATGCATATAGAGAAATGGTAGGTGGAATGTTTGACTTAGACCTTACATTAAAGTACATTCGGGGGTATTTTGATGAAATTCAGCATATTCTGTATTTTAGGATAGTTGCAGTAACTTAGTATTAGGGATAGGAAGTGGAAAATCATCAGGGTAGACTTCATATAAGATATAAGAGTTTTCTTGGACTTTGAACTGTGGACAAAATCTACAGAAAGAAAAAGAGGTGCGGTGGCTCAAGCCTGTAATCCCAGCACTTTGGGAGGCCGAGGCGGGTGGATCACGAGGTCGAGAGATAGAGACCATCCTGGTCAACATGGTGAAACCCCGTCTCTACTAAAAATACAAAAAACTAGCTGGGCGTGGTGGCGCGTGCCTGTAATCCCAGCTACTTAGGAGGCTGAGGCAGGAGAATTGCCTGAGCCCAGGAGGCGGAGGTTGCAGTGAGCCGAGATCGCGCCATTGCACTCCAGCCTGGGTAACAAGAGCGAAACTCCGTCTCAAATAAAAAAAAAAAAGAAAAAAAAGAAAAAGAGGTGAATATTCAAAATCAGACACTGGCAAGAGGAAAGGTGCAGAGACAGGTATGTTTGTGCATTTCTGGGTGACAGTTAATGAATAGACCATCTGGAGCACATGGTTGATTTTGGTGGCAGTAAAAGGCTAGGTTGGAAAGACAGGATTACATCAGATTTTGGAGGTCTTGAATGTTAAGGGTTGGAGGGAATTCTTTCACTTTTTTCCAGCAGGCAATAGAGAGCCATTGAAAAATTTTATTTTCAGTAGTTTATTAGGAAGATGAATCAGCAGAGTGGGTTGAAGACAAGAAAGATTGGAAGATAAAACAACAGGGGATAGGGCCATCTGGATTTCAGATAGAGTGCTAGTTGTGGGCAGGTAAAAGGAGGGAATATGTGAGGGGTATTCAGAAGAAATGATTGCTAGGATCTACTAATGATTGATTATGATGTATGAAACAGAAGGCAGATATAGCTTTCCATATTTTGATCCTAGGCAAGTGATACTTGTGTCAGTAACAGAAGTAAAAAAAAAATTGGAGGAAGATCAATTTGTGGAGAAAGTGATGAGTTTGACTTTATTTTATTTATTTGTATTTTTTGAGACAGAGTGTTGCTGTGTTGCCCAGGCTAGAGTAAAGTAGCACAATCTTGGTTCACTGTAACTTTGGCCTCTGGGGTTTAAGCGATTCTCCAGCCTCCCAAGCAGCTGGGACTACAGGCATGCGCCACCACACCCGGCTAATTTTTGTATTTTTAGTAGAGACAGGGTTTCCCTATGTTGGCCAGGCTGGTCTTGAACTCCTGACCTTGTGATCCACCCACCTTGGCCTCCCACAATGCTGGGATTGCAGGTGTGAGCCACTGCACGGGGCCTATTTTTTTATTTTTTATTTTTATTTTTGGAGACAAATTCTCGCTCACTGCCAGGCTGAAGTACAGTGGTGTGATTTTGGCTCACTGCAACCTCTGCCTCCTGTTCAACGGATCCTCCTGTCTAATCCCTGAGTAGCTGGGATTACAGGTGCCTCTCACCATGTCTGGCTAATTTTTGTATTTGTAGTAGAGATGGGGTTTTGCCATGTTGGCCAGGCTGGCTTTTTTTTTTTTTGAAATGGAGTCTTGCTCTGTCACCCAGGCTGGAGTGCAGTGGTGTGATCTCAGCTCACTGTCACCTCCATCTCCCAGGCTCAAGCAATTTTCCTGCCTCAGCCTCCCGAGATGCTGGGATTATAGGCATGCGCCACTATGCCTGTACTAATATTAATTTTTTGTATTTTTAGTAGAGACGGGGTTTCTCCAAGTTGGTCAGGCTGGTCTCAAACTCCCAACCTCAGGTGATCCGCCTGCCTCACCCTCCCAAAGTGCTGGGATTATAGGCAATAGCCACTGCCCCTGGCCTATTAACATCTTCTTTTTTTTTTTTTGAGACGGAGTTTCGCTCTTGTTACCCAGGCTGGAGTGCAATGGCGCGATCTCGGCTCACCGCAACCTCCGCCTCCTGGGCTCAGGCAATTCTCCTGCCTCAGCCTCCTGAGTAGCTGGGATTACAGGCACGCGCCACCATGCCCAGCTAATTTTTTTTTGTATTTTTAGTAGAGACGGGGTTTCACCATGTTGACCAGGTTGGTCTCGATCTCTCGACCTTGTGATCCACCCGCCTCGGCCTCCCAAAGTGCTGGGATTACAGGCTTGAGCCACCGCGCCCGGCCTTCAACATCTTCTTAAGTCTTTGGAGACAATTTATGGATATATCATGAACATCATTTTTCTCCTATTTGAAATTCATGGGTTTTTTTTCCTTTGAGATGGAGTCTCGCTCTGTTGCCCAGGCTGGAGTGCAATGGAGCAATCTCGGCTCACTGCACCGTCCACCTCCTGGATTCAAGTGAGTCTCCTGCCTCAGCCTCCTTAGTATCTGGGACTCAGGCGCCCACCACCATGCCCAGCTAAATTTTGTATTTTAGAGGAGACAGTTTTGCCATGTTGGACAGGCTGGTCTCGAACTCCTGACTTCAGGTGATCCGCCCACTTCGGCCTCCCCAAAGTGTTCGAATTACAGGCGTGAAGCCGCAACACCTGGTAGAAATTCAGGTTTTAAGGATATTTTATTTATTTATTTGAGGTAGGGTCTTGCTCTGCCATCTGGGTTGTAGTGCCGTGGTGTGGTCACAGCTCACTTCAGCCTAGCCCTCCTGGGCTCAAGTGATCTTCCCACCTGAGCCTTCCAAGTAGCTGCGACTACAGGCATGTGCCATCACACCCAGCTAATTTTTTAATTTTTCATAGAGATGGGGTCTTGCCATGAAGCCCAGGTTAGTTTTGAACTCTTGGGATCAAGTAATGTGCCCTCTTTTGCCTCCCAAAGTGCTGGGACTTTAGTTGTGAGCCACCATCTCTGACCTAAAATATTTTTACAAGTTTTTTTTTTTTTTTTTTAAATAGAGAAGGGTCTCACTCTGTTGCTCAGACTGGAGCGTACTGGTATGATTATAGCTCTGTGTAATACGAATCCTGGGCTCTAGGCATCTTGCTGCCTAAGCCTAGCACTACTGCTACTAACAGGACTACAGGTACTCATGCCCAGCTAATTTAAAACAATAAAATTGGCCAGGTATGGTAGCTCACACCTGTAATCCCAGCACTTTGGGATACCAAGGCGGGTAGATAACCTGAGGTCGGGAGCTCGAGACCAGCCTGACCAACATGGAGAAACCCTGTTTCTACCAAAAATACAAAAAAAAATAGCTGGGCATGGTGCTGCATGCCTGTAATCCCAGTTACTTGGGAGACTGAGGCAGGAAAATTGCTTGAACCTGGGAGGCAGAGGTTGCAGTGAGCCAAGATCACACCATTGCACTCTAGCCTGGTCAACAAGAGCGAAACTCCATCTCAAAAAAACAAAAAAATTGTAGAGATGGGGGTGAGGTGAGTGAATCACTTGAAGCCAGGAGTTCGAAACCAGCCTGGCTAACATAGTGAAACCCCATCTCTATTAAAAATACAAAAAATTAGCTGGGTGTGGTGGTGCATGCCTATAATTCTAGCTACTTGGAGGCTGAGGCACAAGAATTGCTTGAACCCAGGAGGAGGAGGTTGCAGTGCATTGAAATTGCACCGCTGCACTCCAGCCTGGGCAACAGAAATGGAGGCTTGCTGTGTTGCCTAGGCTGATCTTGAACTCCTGACTTCAGGCGACCCTCCTGCCTCAGCTTCCCAAAGTGCTGGGATATCTTCTATTTGTTTATAGCCATTGTTCTACATTTGAGGAACTCAAACTAAATGTTCTGGTTGGGTCAGATTAGATTTGAGCAAAATAGGATTATCTTGTAAAAATAATTTGTTGAATGATCATAAATGGGAAAATTGAGTTGTCTAATGAGCAAACTTTAGAGAACTCATTTTTTTTCCAGTCAAATCTGATTCTGCTTTGTAACTGGGATTGCTTTCTGAAACTTAAATACTTAGTTATTATAAAAGAAATGTAATAATTCCTTATCTTAATCATCAGATAATTACATTGTCTGATTTAGAATGTGATTACATTAACGCTAGATCATGTTGCTCGAAATTAAACAAGGTAAGACATTTCTTTGCTTATTTTCTGGCATTGACGCCAGTTCATTTTCCATGTTTAAGATCATTATAGATAATATAAAGATTTTTGGGCTGGGCGTGGTGGCTCACGCCTGTAATCCCAGCACTTTGGGAGGCCGAGGCAGGTGGATCATGAGGTCGAGAGATTGAGACCATCCTGGTCAACATGGTGAAACCCCGTCTGTACTAAAAATACAAAAATTAGCTGGGCATGGTGGCATGCGCCTGTAGTCCAAGCTACTCGGGAGGCTGAGGTAGGAGAATTGCCTGAACCCAGGAGGTGGAGGTTGCAGTGAGCCGAGATCATGCCATTGCACTCCAGCCTGGGTAACGAGCAAAACTCTGTCTCAAAAAAAAAAAAAAAGATTTTTGATTTTAGAGTACAGGTTGTCTCTTATTCATTGGAAATCTGAAGAACTGCTGTGTTTTATAATATTTTAGATCATGAAATTAGACTAGAAGATCTGCATTGAAATTTTGTTTCTTTACATGTTGCTTGGTCCTTGGTTACAGTGGACAGCATCTTTCCTCAGAGTAGGGAAAGGTTTATATGAGGGTAATTGTTTTTGTCATCTGTGTTAGAACTTCCTCCTTCCAGTCATGGAAAAAAGCTCAGTCTGTCTTTGGTTGAATGAAGGAAGACCTTTCTTGGTTGGTTTACTGAGAAATTGATATTTTTTTTGGTAATATATGACTCAATTCATTTATTTTGTGAGAGACATGGTCTTCCAGTGATGCTCAGACTATTCTTGAATTCCTAGGTTCAAGTGATCTGCTTCAGCCTCCTAAATAGCTGGGACTACAGGCACATACCACCATGCCTAATTAATGTTTTTTGTTTTTGTTTTTGTTTTTGTTTTTGAGAGGGAGTCTCACTGTGTCACCAGGCTGGAGAGTAATGGCACGATCTCGGCTCACTGCAACCTCTGCCTCCCAAGCGATTCTCCTGCCTCAGCCTCCCAAGTAGCTGGGATTACAGGCTCCTAGTGCCACGCCCAGCTAATATTTTTGTATTTTTAGTAGAGTTGGGGTTTTACCATGTTGGCCAGGCTGGTTTTCTTTCTTTCTTTCTTTTTTGTTTTTTTTGTTTTTTTTTCATTTTTTTCCCCTTTTTTGATGCTCTGAATCAGCACAGGCTGGTTTTCAAACTCCTAAACTCAAGTGATCCACCTGCCTCAACCTCCTAAAGTGCTAGGATTATAGGTGTGAGCCACCGTGCCTGACCACCTGGCTAATTTTTAAATTCTTTTGTAGAGACAGGATCTCAGTATGTGGCCTAGACTAGTTTCAAACTCCTGGCCTTGAGCAATCCTGCTGTCTTGGCCTCCGAAAGTGCTGGGATTACAGGTGTCAGCCACCATGCCTGACCTTAGCTCCATATTTTAAAACTTCTCATGAACTTTGTTTGATTGTTTGAGGCAGAGTCTCACTCTGTTGCCCAGGCTGGAGTGCAGTGATGCGATCATGGCTCACTGCAGCCCTGACCTCCCAGGCTCAAATAATCCTTCCACCTCAGCCTCCCACATAGCTGGCACTACAGGTGTGTGCCACTATACCTGGTTAATTTTAAAAATTTTTTGTAGTGACCAGATCTATGTGGCCCAGGCTGGTCTGAAATTTCTGGTCTCAAGCAATCTGCCCGCCTTGGACTCCCAAGGTGTTAGGATTACAGGCATGAGCCACTGCGCCCAGCCTCATGGAGCTTCTTGAGATAAGGTAAATGGCAATTAAATTTACACCCCTTGGTGGTCTTCTGACTTCCAGTGTTGTTCAAGTTGAGAAGTGTCATGCCATTTTTATTTCTTATGTTTTTAATATGGTTTTCTCTCTCTCTCTTTTCCTTTCCTCTATGGGGAAGTTTTAGAATCTTTTCTTTATTCTTGGTATTTTGAAATTACACAGTGCTATATCTCTGTGTACTTTTTAAAAGGCCTTTCTCATTTGTTTTAGACATCTGATAGGCTCTTTCAATACAGGACATTTTCTTGTATTCTTTCTTTGATGTCTCTTCCCCATCTTTTTTCCCTCCTTTTCTTTCTACAACTTCCACTGACTAGACAATTGATCTGCTGGATTGATTGCCAATTTTTCCTTTTTCTTAGTTTTATTCCTTTGATTTTTTTTCCTCCGTTTTTATTATTTCCCTTGCTTTTTCTTCTGGATTTTCTTTTTCTTTCTCTCTCTCTCTCTCTCTCTCTCTCTCTCTCTCTCTCTTTTTTTTTTTTAATCTGAGACGGAGTTTTGCTCTTTTTTTTTTTTTTTTTTTTTTTTGAGACGGAGTTTCGCTCTTGTTACCCAGGCTGGAGTGCAATGGCGCGATCTCGGCTCACCGCAACCTCCGCCTCCTGGGCTCAGGCAATTCTCCTGCCTCAGCCTCCTAAGTAGCTGGGATTACAGGCATGCACCACCACGCCCAGCTAGTTTTTTTGTATTTTTAGTAGAGACGGGGTTTCACCATGTTGACCAGGATGGTCTCGATCTTTCGACCTCGTGATCCACCCGCCTCGGCCTCCCAAAGTGCTGGGATTACAGGCTTGAGCCACCGCGCCCGGCCGAGTTTTGCTCTTTTTGCCCAGGCTGGAGTGCAATGGCGCGATCTCAGCTCACCATGACCTCTGTCTCCCAGGTTCAGGTGATTCTCCTGTCTCAGCCTCCTGAGTAGCTGGGATTACAGGCGCCCGCCACTATGCCTAGCTAATTTTCATTTTTAATGGAGACGGGATTTCACCATGCTCTCCAGGCTGGTCTCGAACTCCTGACCTCAGGTGATCTGCCTGCCTCAGTCTCCCAAAGTGCTGGGATTACAGGTGTGAGCCACCATGCCCAGCCTTTTTCTTTTTCTTTTTTTTTTTTTTTTGAGATGGAGTTTCGATTTTATTGTCCAGACTGGAATGCAGTGGCGCAATCGCAGCTCACTGCCACCTCCACCTCCCAGATTCAAGTGATTCTCATGCCTCAGCCTCCCGAGTAGCGGAATTACAGGTGGCTGCCACTATGCCTGCCTAATTTTTGTATTTTTAGTAGAAACAGGGTCTTTCCATTTTGGCCAGGCTGGTCTTGAACTGCTGACTTCAGGTGATCTGCCTTCCTCAGTCTCCCAAAGTGCTGGGATTACAGGCATGAGCCATCTTTTTTTTTTTTTTTTTTTTTTTTTTGAAACAGAGTTTCACTCTTGTTACCCAGGCTGGAGTGCAATGGCACGATCTCGGCTCACCGCAACCTCCGCCTCCTGGGTTCAGGCAATTCTCCTGCCTCAGCCTCCTGAGTAGCTGGGATTACAGGCACGAGCCACCATGCCCAGCTAATTTTTCTTTTTATGTTTTTAGTAGAGACGGGGTTTCACCATGTTGACTGGGATGGTCTCGATCTCTCGACCTCGTGATCCTCCCGCCTCGGCCTCCCAAAGTGCTGGGATTACAGGTTTGAGCCACCGCACCCGGCCTGGCATGTGCCATCTTACCCAGTCTTTCGAATTTTCTTTTCTTTCTTTCTTTTTTTTTTTTTTGAAACGGAGTTTTCGCTCTTGTTACCCAGGCTGGAGTGCAATGGCACGATCTTGGCTCACCACAACCTCCGCCTCCTGGGTTCAGGCAATTCTCCTGCCTCAGCCTCCTGAGTAGCTGGGATTACAGGCATGCGCCACCATGCCCAGCTAATTTTTTGTATATTTCGTAGAGACGGGGTTTCACCATTTGACCAGGATGGTCTCGATCTCTTGACCTCATGATCCACCCGCTTCGGCCTTCCAAAGTGCTGGGATTGCAGGCGTGAGCCATCTTATCCAGTCTTCTGAATCTTCTTTTCTTTGTTTTTTTTTTTTTGAGATGGAGTTTTCGCTCTTGTTACCCAGGCTGGAGTGCAATGGTGCGGTCTCGGCTCACCGCAACCTCCACCTCCTGGGTTCAGGCAATTCTCCTGCCTCAGCCTCCTGAATAGCTGGGATTACAGGCATGCACCACCATGCCCAGCTAATTTTTTGTATTTTTAGTAGAGACAGGGTTTCACCATGTTGACCAGGATGGTCTCGATCTCTTGACCTCATGATCTACCCGCCTTGGCCTTCCAAAGTGCTGGGATTACAGGCGTGACCACCACGCCTGGCCCTGAATTTTCTAATAAATGTAACATTTATGTTAAAATGTTAATTTTTAAGAGCTTTATATTTTCTTGGTTTATGTTTGACTCCTAGTTCTCTGAGAATACTGATTATAGCATTTTTCTATTTTTTATTAAAGATAGGGTCTTCTTCTCTCATCCAGGTTGAAGTACAATGGCATAATCATACCTAATTGCAGCCTTGAATTTCAAGACTAAGTGATCCTCCCACCTTAGCTTCCCAAGTAGCTGGAACTGCAGGTGTGCGCCACCATGCCTGGCTGATTACAGTGTTTTTGAAATTTTCTTCTGCTTCCTGTATTATATCTGTTTCCATCAAGTTCTTTTCCTTTTTTTCTTTCCCCGCTCTGTCTTTCATTTTGGAGGCTTTCTTCAAGTTTCTGATATATGACTGCCTATTCATATTTAAGGGGAAAGCACTAAAATGCTCATTGAAAGCTCATTGGCTGGTCTAGATTTGTTGACTGGTAGACTTCCCTGTACGGTGATTGGTATCTACCTGGACTTTTGTTAGGGTACCTGAATGGCAGTTTTTTGTTAGGTGTTATTTTTGAGTCATTTACCTTAGAGAAGAATTCTCCAAACTCCTACATGGAGGATATGAGTCTAGTGCCAATATGCTGAGAAGAAATTTGGGGAAGGGCATATCATTAAGGAGGAAAGAGATGAAAAACAGAGAACTTGGTTGAAAGTTAGTAAACCAAGTATAATAAGGTTAAGTCTCACTTTCTGAAACATATTTCAGGCCGGGTGTAGTGGCTGACACCTTTAATCCCAGTACTGTGGGAGACCAAGGAGGGAGAATCACTTGAGCTCAGGAGTTTGAGACCAGCCCTGGTAACTTAGGGAGACTTCCTCTCTACAAAATTAAAACAAGAGAGAGAGAGAAAAAATAAACATGTTTCAGGTCTGTGTCTGTGTAAAAAAAAGATTTTGCAGCCTACAGCAAGAAATCTAAAGATTGAAGGCTATAGCTTTAGGAATATGATATGGCAAAACTAAGAAAATAAAAAAGAAAAAAGAAATATGATATGGCTTGGAGAATATTAGTAGTATTCATTAGCTGACATTTTATTTTATTTTATTTTATTTTATTTTATTTTATTTTATTTTATTTTATTTTTGAGATGGAGTTTTGCTCTTGTCACCCAGGCTGGAGTGCAATGGCGCGATCTCGGCTCACCGCGACCTCCGCCTCCTGGGTTCAGGCAATTCTCCTGCCTCAGCCTCCTGAGTAGCTGGGATTACAGGCACGCGCCACCATGCCCAGCTAATTTTTTGTATTTTTAGTAGAGACGGGGTTTCACCATGTTGACCAGGTTGGTCTTGATCTCTTGACCTTGTGATCCACCCACCTTGGCCTCCCAAAGTGCTGGGATTACAGGCTTGAGCCACCGCGCCCGCCAGCTGACATTTTATTGAGTGCCTACTTTGCGTGTGGCTTACATGTTATTTCATCTAATTCTTTACAACAACTTTGTGAGATAGGTAGTATGTGTATTTTATAGATGAAAACATTGTGGCTTCCAGAGGGTAACTTTTCCAAAGATAACACAGCTAATAAATAGGACATAGCATTCCAGGTTTGACTTTGTAGCTCATGCTTGTAAGAAGTATACAATCAGCTAGAACTTTCCAGTATGTAATATGCATTTTAAAAAGTATAACCGGCCGGGCGCGGTGGTTCAAGCCTGTAATCCCAGCACTTTGGGAGGCCAGGGCGGGTGGATCACAAGGTCAAGAGATCGAGACCATCCTGGTCAACATGGTGAAACCCCGTCTCTACTTAAAATACAAAAAAATAGCTGGGCATGGTGGCACGTGCTTGTAATCCCAGCTACTCAGGAGGCTGAGGCAGGAGAATTGCCTGAACCCAGGAGGCGGAGGTTGCGGTGAGCGGAGATGGCGCCATTGCACTCCAGCCTGGGTAACAAGAGCGAAACTCCGTCTCAAAAAAAAAAAAAAAAAAGTATAACCAAGTTCATTGCAAATTAGGTTTATGGCCCAGAACAATCTCTACTTCTTTATTTTACCAAAATAGTATCCAAAATCTAAATGCAAGAGGTCCGAGGTCATTGTGGCTGGGTTTATATTGTGTGTATATGTGTGTGTGTTTGAGATAGAGTCTCGCTCTGTGTGTGTGTGTGTGTGTGTGTGTGTGTGTGTGTGTTTTCTTTCAGACAGAGTCTCGCTCTGTAGCCCAGGCTGGAGTGCTGGTACGATCTCAGCTCACTCCAACCTCTGCCTCCCAAGTCCTGGTTTAAGCAATTCTCCTGCCTTTGCCTCCCGAGTAGCTGGGATTACAGGCGTGTACCACCATGCCCAGCAATTTTTTTTGTATTTTTAGTAGAGATGGGGTTTCATCATGTTGGCCAGGCAGGTCTTGACTTCCTGACCTTGTGATCTGCCTGTCTCAGTCTTCCAAAGTACTGGGATTGCAGGTGGGAGCCACCGCGCCCAGCTGGCTTACACTATAGTGTTCTGCTACTATTTAGCTGTGTAACCTTGGGCAATTTACCTAACCACTCTGAGTTTTGTTTTCCTCATTTCTGAAAGTGAGGCATGCCAGTTTCTTTTATTAAACGTTAACTTCCACTAAAAGAAGTTACTTTAATTAAAAATCTGTACTCAGGAAAGGAAGGCTGTTGGTGAATTGAGAACCCTGCCACCAAAGCTGTTGATGCACGGAACTAGAATATTACACAGTCATCAGAGAGCATAGGGAAGGGCATGGAGCTCTGTAAAGCTGATGGCATCTGGTTCATTTTCATATTTGGTCAACTTTGAGCTATTCTTTTAAGCGTTTACATTTTTTTTTCTCTGAATACGAAATGGTTTCCTAGGGATTCTGGAGATTGCAAAATGTTTAAGGTTGCTATTCTGACTTGAAAGGCAACATGTGTACAGATATCAACCATCCCAAATTAGAGCTACAGGCTTTGGCATAAATACCAGAATAGGAAGTAAACAATACTCTATTTTTTTTTTTTTTTTTTGAGACGGAGTTTTGCTCTTGTTACCCAGGCTGGAGTGCAATGGCGCGATCTCGGCTCACCGCAACCTCCGCCTCCTGGGTTCAAGTAATTCTCCTGCCTCAGCCTCCCGAGTAGCTGGGTTTACAGGCATGCCCCACCATGTCCAGCTAATTTTTGTATTTTTAGTAGAGATGGGGTTTCACCATGTTGACCAGGATGGTCTTGATCTCTTGACCTCATGACCCACCCGCCTCAGCCTCCCAAAGTGCTGGGATTATAGGCGTGAGCCACCGCACCCGGCAACAATACTCTATTTTTTTCCTCTAGTTCTCATTCAAACCTGCTTAATGAATGAACCTAAGCCTTTGCTTAGGATAAAAAGTAATTAAAATTTAAGTGCTTTATTTTTAAGTTTTGCCCAGATGTATCTGCATGGGATACAAAGTTATAGCAGTATGCAAATCTGGGACATGTGAGTCTAAAAAGAATCTTGAAAGAGTAGCTTGTAAATTCTCTGTACATTCATTGATTTAGTTTCAAATAACATGTACAATCAGGAAGGACATAGCAGTGAGATATAATACTTTGTTCTTCCATTGCAGTGGGTAATTCCAGAATTGATTGGCCATACCATTGTCACTGTATTAATGCTCATTTCATTGCACTGGTTCATCTTCCTTCTCAACTTACCTGTTGCCACTTGGAATATATATCGGTGAGTATAGTTTGTTTCATTTGGTGTCAAGGCAGTTTAAAAATTTTTTTAAATCGTGGTTTTTTTCAAGACAGGATCTCACTCTCGCACCCAGGCTGGTGTAGTGGTGCAGTCTATCTTGGCTCACTGCAATTTCCACCGCAGTTCAAGTGATTCTCCCACCTCGGCCTCCCGAGTAGCTGGGACTACAGGTGTGTACCACCATGCCTGGCTAATTCTTGTGTTTTTAGTAGAGACAGGTTTAACCATGTTGGCCAGGCTGGTCTCGAACTCCTGACCTCAAGTGATGGGCCTGCATTAGCCTCCCCAGGTGCTGAGATTATTTACAGGTGCGAGCCACTGTGTGTGGCCAAAAAAAGGTTTTTAATAGGTTTGTTTTTAGAGATGGAGTCTCCTGCTGTCACCCAGGGCAGAGTGCAGTTGCTCAATCTTGGCTCAGTGCAAACTCCACCTCCCAGGTTCAAGCCATTCTCCTGCCTCAGCCTCTCTAGTAGTTAGGATTCAGGTGGCTGCTACAATGCCTGGCTAATTTTTGTATTTTTAGTAGACGGGGTTTCACCATTTTGACCAGGCTGGTCTCAAACTTCTGACCTCAAGCGATCTGCCCACCTCAGCCTCCCAAAGTGTTGGGATTATAGGCATGAGCCACGTCGCCAGGCTGGAATTACATGTAAAAGCTGCAAATTACGTAATTTGTTAAAATTTTTAACTTAATACATTTAGGAAGTTTGTTCAAAATGAGCTCAGTGGCCGGGCATAGCGGCTCACGCCTGTAATCCAGGCACTTTGGAGGCCAAGGCGGGTGGATCACCTTAGGTTGGGAGTTCAAGACCAGCCTGACCAACATGGTGAAACCCCATCTTTAAAAATAAATAAATAAATTAATTAATTATAAAAAAAAATGAGCTCAATGGAAACCATGACTGTATGTAATTTTATAGTTGGGCTATTATACATAGCATACTTTCTTGTGAAGACCTCCGGAATAATCTTGACAAGCCTGCAATTGTTATATTTGTGGATTGCTGCTCTACCCACATTGGCCTCACAAAATGCTGAGATTACAGGTGTGAGCCACTGTGTCTGGCCTTTCTTTTTCTTGAGATGGAATTTTGCTCTTGTTGCCTAGGCTGGAGTGCAATGGTGCGATCTTGGCTTACCAAAACCTCTGCCTCCTGGGTTCAAGTGATTCTTCTGCCTCAACCTCCCAAGTAAATGGGATTACAGGCATGCGCCACCATGCCCAGCTAATTTTGTGTTTTTAGTACAGATGAGGTGTTCCATGTTGGTCTCGAACTCCAGACCTCAGATGATCCACCTGCCTTGGCCTCCCAAAATCCTGGGATTACAGGTGTGAGTCACCACACCCAGCTGATTTTTTTTTTTTTTTTTTGAGACAGAGTTTTGCTCTTGTTACCCAGGCTGGAGTGCAATGGCGCGATCTCGGCTCACCGCAACCTCCGCCTCCTGGGTTCAGGCAATTCTTCTGCCTCAGCCTCCTGAGTAGCTGGGATTACGTGCCACCATGCCCAGCTAATTTTTTGTATTTTTAGTAGAGACGGGGTTTCACTATGTTGACCGGGATGGTCTCGATCCCTTGACCTCGTGATCCACCCTCCTCAGCCTCCCGAAGTGCTGGGATTACAGGCTTGAGCCACCGCGCCCGGCCCTTTTTTTTTTTTTTTTTTTTTTTTTAAGATAGAGACTCGTTCTGTCATCCAAGCTGGAGGAGTACAGTGGTGTGATCTCAGCACATTGCCACCTCTGCCTCCTGGGTTCAAGCAATTCTCCTGCCTCAGCCTTCCAAGTAGCTGGGATTACAAGCACATGCCAGCATGCACAGCTAATCTTTGTATTTTTAGTAGAGACGGGGTTTTTACCATATTGGCCAGGCTGGTCTCGAACTCCTGACCTTGTAATCCTCCCGCCTTGGCCTCCCAAAGTGCTCGGATTACAGGCTTGAGCCACTGCACCTGGCCTTTTCTTTTCTTTTCTTTTCGTTTTTGAGACGGAGTTTCGCTCTTGTTACCCAGGCTGGAGTGCAGTGGCACGATCTCGGCTCACCGCAATCTCCGCCTCCTGGGTTCAGGCAATTCTCCTGCCTCAGCCTCCTGAGTAGCTGGGATTACAGGCACGTGCCACCATGCCCAGCTAATTTTTGTATTTTAGTAGAGACGGGGTTTCACCATGTTGACCAGGATGGTCTCGATCTCTTGACCTCGTGATCCACCCGCCTCGGCCTCCCAAAGTGCTGGGATTACAGGCTTGAGCTACCGCGCCCGGCTGGACCTTTCTTTTTTTTAAGAGATGAAGTCTCTCTGTATTGCTCAGGCTGGAATGCAACATCTATTAACAGGCATGATGTAGTGTACTATAGCCTTGAACTCCTGGGCTCAAGTGATCCTCCCACCTTAGCCTCCTGAGTAGTTGGGACTATAGGTGCACACTGCTGCACCTGGCATCTTTCAAGTTTCTTAGTATTCTCCCATGATTAGTTGCATAGACCAACACCCGAACGTGCAGCTCTGAGCTGGGAACACAGATTACTTGCATTTCTGCTGAGGGCTAGTCCCAGGTTGACTTTTAGCACCGCTAGGTCTCCCTCTAGTTTCACTGAGTGAAACACAACTTTGGGAGTGAGAATGGGGACTTGAACCTTTGAGACTGTGGATCTTAATGTTATACCAGACCGTACTGTCAGTCATCTCTACTAGAAATGAAAACATGCTAGAAGAGCCAGCTTTGGCATGGCTTCTTTGTAGATAGTGGTAGAAGGCTCTATGAAGTCATGTCCAAAGATTCTGTTTTTAGGCTGGGCATGGTGGCCCACACCTGTAATCCCAGCACTTTGGGAGGCTGAGGTGAGTGGATCACCTGAGGTCAGGAGCTTGAGACCAGCCTGGCCAACATGGCAAAACCCCATCCCTACTTAAAATACAAAAATTAGCCAGGTGTGGTGGCATGCGCTTATAGTTCCAGCTACTTGGGAGGCTGACGGAGGAGAATCGCTTGAACCTGGGAGGCAGAGGTTGCAGTGAGCTGGATTGCACAACTGTACTCCAGCCTGGGCAGCAGAATGAGACTCAGTCTCAAAAACAAAACAAAAGACAAAATTTAAAAAACCCAAAGATTCTTTTTTTATTTAATTATAAAGAGAAAGATCATGTGTATTTATTACCCTGGTAACTGGCAGTGGCAGGTTGGCTGTCTGCTGGTCACAAGTTTACCTCCTGTTTAAAAAGGTTTAAAAATTTAAAACATCAACAGATTATTTTCAGACTAATGCACCGCAACCTCCGCCTCCTGGGTTCAAGCAATTCTCCTGCCTCAGCCTCCTGAGTAGCTGGGATTACAGGCATGCGCCACCATGCCCAGCTAATTTTTTGTATTTTTAGTAGAGATGGGGTTTCACCACGTTGACCAGGATGGTCTGGATCTCTTGACCTCATGATCCACCCGCCTTGGCCTCCCAAAGTGCTGGGATTACAGGCTTGAGCCATTGCGCCCAGCCTTTTTTGTATTTTTAGTAGAGAAGGGGTTTCACCATGTTGACCAGGATGGTCTTGATCTCTTGACCTCGTGATCCACCCGCCTCGGCCTCCCAAAGTGCTGGGATTACAGGCTTGAGCCACCATGCTAGGCCTCAGACTACTGTACTTTATGCTGTTAAGTATCCTTTAATGTGTTTATTAGTAATTCATATGACTTCTTTGATGTTAGACATAAAGTACAGTAGTCTACAGGACAAAGAGGCAAATACCTAGGAGTGGAATCACTTAGTCATATGGTAGCTCTATATTTAACCTTTTGAGGAACTGCTTGAATGTTTTTGGAAGCAGCTGCACTATTTTTTTTTTTTTTTTTTTTGAGACAGGGTCTCCCTCTCTTGCCCAGGCTGGAGTGCAGTGACATGATCTTGGCTCATTATAGACTCAACCTCCTGGGCTCAAGCAATCCTCCCACCTCAGCCACCCAAAGTGCTGGGATTACAGGTGTGAACCATTGTGCCCAGCCATGTCTGCACTATTTGACATTCCCACCAACTGTTTATTGGGGGTTCCAGTTTCTCTGCATCCTTGCCAACACTTTTGATTGTGTGTCTTTTTTTTTCTTTTCTTTTTTTTTTGATGAAGTCTTGCTCTCTGTCACTGAGGCTGGAATACAATGGCACAATCCCTGCTCACTGCAACCTCCCCCTCCCAGGTTCAAGTGATTCTCCTGCAGGATTACAGGTACCCGTCACCACACCCGGCTGATTTTGGTATCTTTAGTAGAGATGGGGTTTCACCATGTTGACCAGCTGGTTTCGAACTTCTGACCTCAGGTGATCTGCCCACCTTGGCCTCCCAGAATTACAGGTGTGAGCCACCGCACCCAGTCTATGTGTGTATTTTTAAATTTTAGCCATACTATTGGGTGTGAAGTGTTATCTCATTGTGGTTTCCATTTACATTTCCTTAATGACTAATGATATTAAGTATCCTTTAATGCGTTTATTAGTCATTAATATATCTTCTTTGCTTTATATGTTTTGGAGTAGCTAAGTTAAGGTGAAATAAATTATGCTTTGGGAAGATTTTCCTGGAAGCAATTTGTAGTATTGATTGGATGGAGAAGTAGGTGAAATAATATATGCTGGAACAGGGTTATGACACCAGGAATGAGAAAGAGACAGCTGAGAATGAGATCCTGTCATGTGTAACAGTAAGGATGGAACTGGAGAATATTACATTAAGTGTAATTAGCCAGGCACAGAAAGACAAACTTTGCCTGTTCTCACTCATTTGTGGGAGCTAAATTTTAAAACAATTGAACTCTTGGAGATAGAGAGTAGAAGAAAGGTTTACCAGAGGTTGGGAAGGGTAGCAGGAGTCGAGTGGGGAAGTGTGGAGGGTTAATGGGCACAAAAAAATAGAAAGAATGAATAAGACCTAGTATTTGCTAGCACAACAGGGTGACTATTGCAAAAATAATTTAATTGTACATTTTTAAATAACTGAAAGAAGGCTTGGCGCAGTGGCTCATGCCTGTAATCCCAGCACTTTGGGAAGCCAAGGTGGCGGATCACCTGAGGTCAGGAGTTTGGACCACCCTGGCCAACATGGCGAAACCATCTCTACTAGAAATACAAAAGTTAGGCCGGGCGCGGTGGCTCAAGCCTGTAATCTCAGCACTTTGGGAGGCCGAGGCGGTGGATCACGAGGTCAAGAGATCGAGACCATCCTGGTCAACATGGTGAAACCCCGTCTCTACTAAAAATACAAAACATTAGCTGGGCATGGTGGCGCGTGCCTGTAATCCCAGCTACTCAGGAGGCTGAGGCAGGAGAATTGCTTGAACCCAGGAGGCGGAGGTTGCGGTGAGCCGAGATCGCGCCATTGCACTCCAGCCTGGGTAACAAGAGCGAAACTCTGTCTCAAAAAAAAAAAAAAAGAAAGAAAGAAATACAAAAGTTATACCAGGTGTGGTGGCAGGTGCCTGTAATCCCAGCTACGGGAAGCTGAGGCAGGAGAATTGCTTAAACCCAGGAGGAGGAGCTTGTGGTGAGCCAAGATTGTGCCACTGTACTCCAGCCTGGGCAACAGAGGTTCCGTCTGGGAAAAAAAAAAAAATTGAAGAAAAAAAACCTGAAAGAGTACAGTTGGATTGTTTGTAACACAAAGGATAAATGCTTATGGTGATGGATACCCCATTTACCCTGATGTGATTATTACACATTGCATGCCTATATCAAAATATCTCATGTAACCCATAAGTATACCTACTATGTGTCCACAAAAATAAAAAAATCTAAAAAGAAAAAAAATGGAGACAGCTAAATAAGTGGTGGTAGGAAGAAGGACTGGACAAGGGTTTGATGGACTGACTATGAAAGATGAGGAAGAGAGAAGTGCGGGTTTGGTAAGAAGAAGTTTTTAAGGATCACTAAGAAAATGGTGACACTTATTAGATAACCTAGAAGTTAGACAAGGATGAGGTGTTATCTGGATATACCAATGAAACTCTATTCAGCTATAGTTGGGCTTCTGGAATTTTAAGGAGGATTTCAGATTTGTGGAACTCAGAGAGTCCTTTGCATTTCAAAGAAATGATAATTGAGAAGCTCTGTGACAAGTGAGAAATCTAAGGTTGTACTAGAAAAAGCTTAGATGTGAGAGCAGGAAGAATTCATGGACATTCTAGGTTAGGACACATATGTTACACAAATGACACAGTCTGGATTTTAAAGTCCAGACACTTAAACTCAGTGATCCTCTCAACCCAGCGTCCTTAATTTCCCTGTTACCATAATGAAGTTTCTAAGAACTTAATAAAATTGGTTTGGGTTTGGAGCCTCCTTTAACCTTTGTCTAATAAAAAAGGGCTGTAGAAATGACTGGTATGGTAGTTTCCTACAGGTAAGTAAAAGGATTTTAGTGCATAAAATACCCTTTTCTGGAATGTTACTGTATTCATTTCAGAGGGCAGAAAATTAATAGTATTGTAACTTTAAAAAAGGAAACTAAGTGGCAGTCCATGACATTATCATACTACTCTGTCCATATGTGGTATGAATTTTAAGGCTGGTATGATTGGTTCACTTTTTTTTTTTTTTTTTGAGATGGAGTCTTTCTCTGTCACCGAGGCTGGGGCTCAATGGCGCAGTCTTGGCTCACTGCAACCTCTGCCACCTAGGTTCAGGTGATTCTCTTGCCTCAGCCTCCTGAGTAGCTGGGATTTCAGGTGCCTGCCACCATGCCCGACTAATTTTTGTATTTTTAGTAGAGATGGGGTTTCACCATGTTGGCCAGGTTGGTCTTGAACTTTGACTTCAAGTGATCTGTCTGCCTTGGCCTCCCAAAGTGCTGGGATTACAGGCATGAGCCACTGCACCTGGCCTGATTGGTCCACTTTTAAAAGTCGATATTATTGGCTACTTATATTTGAATACATATGCCTATGATTTGATTTTGCTTCTAATGTGTATATCCTTTTATTTGTCAGATACATCATGGTGCCAAGTGGTAACATGGGAGTGTTTGATCCAACAGAAATACACAATCGAGGGCAGCTGAAGTCACACATGAAAGAAGCCATGATCAAGCTTGGTTTCCACTTGCTCTGTTTCTTCATGTATCTTTATAGGTGAGTTTAGAGTCCTGATATTTTATTAGATGCCATAATTGTTTCTGAAGAGTGAGATTGTTGGAGTTACTACTTGTGAAGGTCTGCCCTGCAGACTTTGACTAAACGATGGATAAATAAAGTACACTGACACAGAGACATTATGCTTTCCTAGTTTGGCTGAATGTGACTGGTCAGCTTACAGGTGCTTTGGAGAGCTTCGTAAACAGTTCAGCGGCCAGCCTTTTTACCTAGTGAGACTCGCATTTATTTAGTAAAGTTTAATTGACAAAGGTTTGAGTTAAGACTACTAGAGTGAAGATTAAACCACAGGTTTTGATGCTTAAAGCAAATACTATTAGTGGATAATATTTTTGGTTAACTTTTTTTTGAGAGGGCTCTTTGGCTTAAAGGTTAGTTTTAAGACTACATGAGTAAACAAGTTAGGTAAACTCTTCTATATACTTTAGTTACTTGTTTTACTTGTTAACTAAATGCAAGGGGGATTTAGGCTGCTTTTAGCTGAAACTTTTACTGAAACTCTGAAAAAACATTTAGGCCTTTTGAAAGGGTTTGAAACTGTATTTCATAACTTTCTCTACTATTTTTCTTTTAATATTTTTGCTACTACCTTGAGTGAGTTCTTAACGTCTCCCCCTGTTTTGTTTTTAATATTAGGTTTTGTTGACTGAAGAGAAGTTGCAACAACTGGTCTGTTAGGCAAGGTCGTTATTGCTTTTATTCTAGTTTTGCATTTTAGAATTAACAAATAACAGAACAGTTATGAGTACAGTGAGCAACATTTTTATTAAAGAGTGATTTCTAGGAGGGGAGTTTAGGAGAGATGATTTTGCACACTTTTCTATATGGCTGTTGCGTATGTAGATTTACAGTGTGAAGGGATTTAAAAATTTTAGTTTTAAGTTGCTTTACATTTGCTGTTAAATTGTTATGAAAGGTTTTTTAGAGGTGTTTCACTTTATCTTAACTATGTATTGATTGATTTTATGGTAGAGAAGTGACACATGTTTATGTTCTTAGTTGCAGCTTAACTGCTGTTGGAATGTTAATGCATCTTGTCTCTTCACATATTCTACAGCAGCCTTGACTTGAAGATGTGCAGGAATTTTTTGATTTATACTTTGCTGTAAAAGAAGTTAATTAGCCGGGCGCAGTGGCTCACGCCTGTAATCCCAACAGTTTGGGAGGCGGAGGCGGGTGGATCACGAGGTCAAGAGATCGAGACCATCCTGGTCAACATGGTGAAACCTCGTCTCTACTAAAAATACAAAAAATTAGCTGGGCATGGTGGCGCGTGCCTGTAATCCCAGCTACTCAGGAGGCTGAGGCAGGAGAATTGCCTGAACCCAAGAGGCGGAGGTTGTGGTGAGCCGAGATCGCGCCATTGCACTCCAGCCTGGGTAACAAGAGTGAAACTCCGTCTCAAAAAAAAAAAAAAAAAAAAAGAAGTTAATTAGACACATTTTTGTCTAGATTATTTATAAAAGCAGCTATTTTTATTGACTAAGTAATAGATGCTACTGCAAGGCTGGCAGTTGCTAGGATGACTATGGCTGAGACTATAAAGGCCATGAGTGTAACTATGAATCTTTTGGGTTTGACTTGGGACAGGGCATGTTTTAAGGTGGAAAGGGCAGAGGAACTTTGCTAATTGCTTGTTAAATTGACTGGTAGGAATGCCTCAGATTTTAATACTATGACAGTAGTAATTTTTAAATTAGATATGTTGTGATTAGTGATACCTGAGGCAAACTAAGCTTGTTTCTGCACTTGGGTTACAAACGTGGAGTTTTGGGGTATAATGGAAACGTTAGTTCTTGTAAGGAAAACATATTGATGGTTAATGCAAATTAGGCACTGATTAGTGTGATTATGAATAAAGGTTATAGTATAGTTGTGACTGGAATTATGATGTGCTTTATGCTAGGTGTTAAGGGAGGTGCTAAGGTGTCCTAGGCACCGTAAGGTGCTTTGGGGTGGCATGGATTTTACTTGGGGTATGTTAATTTTTTGGCCAAGTAGTTACGTTATTATAGGCTGGGAAGTGGGTGTCTAAGTAACAGGATAGAAAAAAGGCAGAATAGAAGATGGGCTTAATAGAGTGTAGCAGATACAGGTTGCAGGCAGAGTGAGAATAAAAACGAAACAACATTTGGAGTGAATGATGTCTGTGTTTGGAGTAGGATTCGCTTAGCCTCTTGCATTCTTTTTTAGCATTCTTCAGGTGACGTTTGGGGCATGTGTCTGTAGGATTTTTCTTAGGCTGGCTTCAGTTTTTTTTTTTTTTTTTCTTTTCTTTTTTTAATGAGGACGTAGTTTTTAGGCTGGTGCTGGCGTACTGGAAATTTTAGAGGTTGTGCCTATGCTAAGAGACCTTTATAACTTTTCCAAGAGAGCAGGTTAGTGCTTTAAGAAAAACTTGTGCTTTATTTTAGTGTTTAGTTTACAGAAAATCTGACTACTTTTTTTTTATTTTTATTTTTTTTGAGACGGAGTTTCACTCTTGTTACCCAGGCTGGAGTGCAATGGCGCGATCTCGGCTCACCGCAACCTCTGCCTCCTGGGTTCAGGCAATTCTCCTGCCTCAGCCTCCTGAGTAGCTGGGATTACAGGCACGCACCACCATGCCCAGCTAATTTTTTGTATTTTTAGTAGAGACGGGGTTTCACCATGTTGACCAGGTTGGTCTCGATCCCTCGACCTTGTGATCCACCCACCTCAGCCTCCCAAAGTGCTGGGATTACAGGCTTGAGCCACCGCGCCCGGCTCTGAATACTTTTTTTAACTTTAGCTAATAAGTTTACGTAGAATTTTTTTCACAATTAACATTTTAAAACTTGCTTAGACATTTTTTTTTTTTTTTTTTTTTTTTGAGACGGAGTTTCGCTCTTGTTACCCAGGCTGGAGTGCAATGGCGCGATCTCGGCTCACCGCAACCTCCGCCTCCTGGGCTCAGGCAATTCTCCTGCCTCAGCCTCCTAAGTAGCTGGGATTACAGGCACACGCCACCATGCCCAGCTAATTTTTTGCACCTTTAATAGAGACGGGGTTTCACCATGTTGACCAGGATGGTCTCGATCTCTCGACCTCGTGATCCACCCGCCTCGGCCTCCCAAAGTGCTGGGATTACAGGCTTGAGCCACCGTGCCCGGCTGCATTAGGTTTTTAAAATAACCCTGTGAACCTGTTGCTTTACTGGCTTTAAGAAACTGTTTTTTTTTTAATATATACTGTTTTTGTTGAACTGACGAAACTTTAGCCTGAACAATCTTTTCTTGAACTTGGTAATCTTTAGTGGGTACTAATGACTTACTCTTTTACTGACTGGACTTCGTGGTCTTCTGCACTTTTGTTTTTGGGGGGGTTGTTGCGTTCTTTTCAGAGCAATGATTATGTCAGGGTTCTCTTAACAGTTTTCCTCACACGGCTGCACTACTGTTGGGGTTGCCCCACGTTGGGTGCCGCTATTGGGGTTACTATTTGCGGGGGTCTGTCCTGCAGACTTTGACTTAAAAACGAATGAATAAAGTACACTGACACACAGATATTATGCTTTGCCAGTTTGGCTGAGTGTGACTGGGTGGCTTGCAGGCACTTTGGAGAGCACTGTAAACAGTTGCAACTGCCAGCCTTCTTTAGCTAGTGAGACTCGCGTTTATCTAGTAAAGTTTAATTGACAAAGGCTTGAGTTAACACTACTAGAGTGAAAATTAAAGTGCAGGTTTTGATGCTGAAAGCAGACACTATTAGTGGATAATAGCTTTGATTAACTTTTTTTTGAGAGGATTATTTGGCTTAAATGTTAGTTTTGGCCGGGCACGGTGGCTCAAGCCTGTAATCCCAGCACTTTGGGAGGCCGAGGCGGGTGGATCACGAGGTCGAAAGATCGAGACCATCCTGGTCAACATGGTGAAACCCCGTCTCTACTAAAAATACAAAAAAACTAGCTGGGCGTGATGGTGCATGCCTGTAATCCCAGCTACTTAGGAGGCTGAGGCAGGAGAATTGCCTGAACCCAGGAGGCGGAGGTTGCGGTGAGCCGAGATCGCGCCATTGCACTCCAGCCTGGGTAACAGGAGCGAAACTCCGTCTCAAAAAAAAAAAAAAAAAATGTTAGTTTTAAAACTATATGAGTAAACAAGTTAGGTAAACTCCTTTGCATACTTTAGCTATTTGTTTTACTTATTAACTAAATGTAAAGAGGATTTAGGCTGCTTTTAGCTGTAACTTTCACTGAAACTATGAAAAAACTTTTGGGTCTTTTAAAAGGGTTTGAGACTATATTTTATAACTTTACTGTTTTTCTTTTAGTATTTTTGCTACTAGCTTGAGTGAATAATCTTACATGAGATATTACTATACTATAGGATGTTTGCATTGATATTGTGGAACTTTTGGGGATTATGTAAGTTCCTTGTGGCTATGTAAATTATTTATGTATGTCATTGAATCAGCTTTCTATCTGACCTACAGTAGATCTACCCTGTGTCATCTTAGTTATGCCTTAGCTGTTGAGGCTATCATCCTGCTTAAAAGTGTCTTTTGCTATTTTTTTTTCCTGCCCTAATAGTATACAACTTGGAGTTCCACTGCCTGTTATAAGCATTAATGTATGTGCCTCAGTGACCATGACCATGGTCTTTGGGGGATCATACCACTGGCAGCAGCTCTCAGCAACTTTTATCCAAATTGTGCTGATCTTTCTTGGCAATAAGTAATTTAGGTGTGATCCTGATTTTCCAGCATGCTAAATGGTCTGTTGTGGTAAAGTTGTATCAGTCCTCCAGTTATAACACACTGGAAGTAAGAATTAATATGAAAGATTGGCTATCACACACTGGAAGCCTATATAGTCCTGTTTTGAACTATTCCTGTGTGTTTTAGAGGGGAACATGCCACCTTTCCCTTTATCCATCATAGATGCATAGAAGAGAGCCAAGGAGAAAAAAAAAATCCTGTGTATATGATTTGAGTAAACCTTTGAGAAGTTAGAATCAGGCTTAACCTTTGTATCAAAGCTTTAATTGGATCATTTTTATTTTTTCCCCTAGGTAGTTTCATTTTTCACATAGACGTAAGGACTATTAGGAAAAACTTATACTGAACTAAACTTCTGCCACTCAGAAAATTCTTGATTAGAAAAACTATATAGATATAGCAGTTTTTTTTACAATTGCTGTTTTATCTGAAATAGTTTAGAAGTCAGAACCATTTTAGCCTCTGTCTGACAAAGAAGGTTTCCTAAAATCCTTTCACTGTGAATTAAAATTGGAGTTTAGATTGTAGCTGGGTGTGGTGGCTCACACCTGTAATCCTAGCACTTTCGGAGGCTAAGGCAGGCAGATCATGAGGTCAAGAGATCGAGACCATCCTGGCCAACATGGAGAAACCCCGTCTCCACTTAAAAATACAAAAATTAGCTGGGCATGGTTGGCGCATGCCTGTATTCCCAACTACTTGGGAGGCTGAGGCAGGAGAATTGCTTGAATGAGGGAGGCAGAGGTTGCAGTGAGCTGAGATTGTACCATTACACTCAAGCCTGGCAACAGCGTGGCAAGATTCTGTCACTACACTCAAGCCTGTATTTTAAAAACTAGGACAGAAAAAGCACACTGGTCTCAGTTTCTGGTTCTCATACCCTACCTTATTACTAATGTGCTTAGCTTTTAATCCAAGTATCAAAGATGATGAATAAGGAGCAAAAAAAGGTTTATGATGAGAACATAATGATGCACCTATTCTTGTTTCTATTATTTTTGTATCTTATCATCATATGTGTTCCCTATATTTGTTTCTGAAGAGACAAAAAACAAGCTAGAATTGGCTTGGCCAAGGTTATTCTTCATCCCTCCACGCTTTCATGCTGTTGGAAAGTAAATTAGAGCAGGCATCCCCTGGGGGCGGTGCTGTAGGTACAGCCCATGTAATCATACTTCGGAGAGTAAATGTAGGCTTGGAGAGCAGTATCTTGCTTAGTAGACTCAAAGTTTTAGGATTATAAAATGTACATGAGTTTCTGAACTCTTAGTTGTTGAATTTAAAGTAGTGGGGAGTTGGACTGGAGGAATTAAGATTTAATTTTGGTGCAAGTTTAAAGTATTGTTCTTTAAAACTAAATAAAAAGCGAATTAGGTAACTGATTTGTCTGGGCAGCTGTGTACTTCACTGGCTGTACTGTTTTCTTTTCTCTCTTCCCTTCCTTTCCCCTTCCCTATTATTCTGTCATTTTCAGCCACATTGCTATTACTTTACCCTTTGGTGTTGCATATAGTTCAAGGCGTCGGAAGATGTCCTTGCAGCACTTTTCTCTTTTGGTTGCTGTTTTTAAACAGTGGATTTGCTATTAATACCAAGTCATTAGCTTTTTTGATTGCATAGATTTTATGCTCCTCGTCTTTGTATCTAACACCTGCCACACCTTGCCTGGTACCTTGCACCTCATTGACATTTCAGGGCTTGTTGAATGGAATTCAAGTTTTGAAAAAATGCTCATCTTCTTTTTTTTTGTTTTGAAATGGAGTCTTGCTCTGTCATTCAGGCTGGAGTGCAGTGCCACCATCTTGGCTTACTGCAACTCCTACCTCAGCCTCCCAAGTAGCTGGGATTACAGGCATGCGCCAACATGCCTGGCTAATTTTTTGTACTTTTAGTACATGTTGGTCAGGCTGGTATCGAACTCCTGACCTCAGGTGATCCTCCCGCCTCGGCCTCCCAAAGTGCTGGGATTATAGGCCACTGTGCCCGACCCTTATCTTCTATAGAGGATGGGGAGAATTCATGGTTTTGGTTTCTGGATTGGGTGCTAGCCTAGTGGAATGTGGGCTCTACCACTTACATTGAGGTCTGGGGCAAGTTTCTTTTCTTTCTTTTTTTTTTTTTTTGAGACAGAGTCTCGCTCTGTTACCCAGCCGGCGTGCAGTGGCATGATCTCGGCTCACCCACCTCAGCCTCTGAAAGTGCTGGAATTACAGGCATGAGTCACCACGCCTGTCCTGGGGCAAGTTTCTTAACCTCTCTGAGCCTCAGTTTCTCATCTGAAAAGGGAATATTAATGATATTAATAGTTCTTATCATATTTTAATATGGCCTAAGTGAGATAATACATGTCAGACACTTAGATTTATGTTGACCCATAGTAAAAAAACAAAAATCTTAAAAAAATATTAGCAACTATCATTAATTTTTTCTGTGCATTGAGTACATTTAGTATGGTTAAATTTGGACAATTATTTATACCACTAGTGATGTAAGGATATTTCTGTGTATTTTAGCATTTAATTTCAGCAGAGCAAGGCTGATCCCAGTATTTCAAAGGAAAGAGTGGTTTTGTTATTGTTAACTGCGGCAGTTTTAGTGGCATAGTGTTTATTGAGTGACTGCCGTGTGTCAGACATTGTGTAGAGCATTGCAAGTGACACAAAGGAGCAGCACAGAATCCCTACAGTCAAAGCTTGGAGCGTGGTAATTGCAGGCTGGGGTGCTAGTAGCACATGAAAGTGGTGATGCTTGGGCCCTGCTTTCATCTCCGAGTTGCTCATATTCCAGTGGTAGAGACAGCAGGTAAGCCACAGCAGCAGGAAGAAGAGCTGAGGAAGGAGGCTGTCCAGCTTCCCCAAGAAGGTGCCCTAGAGCCAATCACAATACCTGAATAGGAAGTTACTGCTTTGCTGGGGTGTTGGGATGGGAAGAAGAGGTTCCAGGCATAGAACAGTATCTGGCTAGAGAATTTAGAGTTTTTTTCTGGACATAGGTGGTTTTTTTGTGTTTGTTTTCCTTTTTTTTTGTTTTTTAACTGACCGAGCTCGTTTTTTTTGTGTTTGTTTTTTTCTTGTTTTTTTTTAACTATAGCCTAACATAGGTTTTTTTCTGTCTTTTTTTTTTTTTTTTTTAATAGTTTACCAATTTCTGTGAAGGAAAACAGGTTTTAAGTTAACTTTCCCTACCTCCCCATCCCCAATAACTCTTTTTTAGTGAAAAGGTTTAGACATGAAAGACCCTAATATATTCTTGCCTTTGGGTATGAATGATTGTCTTTTACTCAAATGATTGTTCCTTCATAAACCTTAGGGACGAAAGTCTGGACAGACCAGGCCCTGTAGGAACATTCCTGAGAAAACATTAGTAACGTTAATTTCTTCTTTCCACAGTATGATCTTAGCTTTGATAAATGACTGAAGCTGGAGAAGCCGTGGTTGAAGTCAGCGTACACTACAGTGCACAGATGAGGAGCCAGAGACTTCTTAAATCATCCTTAGAACCGTGACCATAGCAGTATATATTTTTCCTCTTTGAACAAAAAACTATTTTTGCTGTATTTTTACCATATAAAGTATTTAAAAAACATGAATTGAGTTTCTGTAGATTTCTAGTTCTCAACTTTAGCCTGAACGCCAACACTTGAAGGTGTTTTTCATCATCTGTATGCTGAAGGTGGTTATTTGTATGTAGGAACAGGACTGCCATCCCAGCTTTGCATGCCAGAGAAATAAAGAACACATTTTAAAGGGTGTTCTTTAAAGTGAAGAGATAGCAAAGGTGCCCTTCAGGTGTACTGAAAAGAGTACAAAACAACACTGTTGATCTGGACAATAGAAGAAAAATTTAATTACCCTTTTTGCTGTGTTGCGGCAACTTCATTTAGTATGGTTTAAAATTTATGAGACTGTCAGCCAGAAGTCTTTTTACAAGACTGTCAACAGAAAATGGCATTTCAGAATATATTTATATATTTACTTGCACAGTTTGTGAAACCATATAAGCCATTTTTCCCAGGTACAATGTGGTTCCTGCTGATGGAAAGGAAACATTTAAAAACCAATGTAATATTTTGTCAGGAGCTTTCATTTAAAAGTCACTACCTCCACAATCGCCCCCAAACCCAGACAATCCCAAGTGGCTCTTGCCAGTCTGGTTTTCATATTGCAATTATTCCAATTGTATTTGATCTCCCTGATAAGTATTTTAATGGGTTTGGAGAAGTGATTTGGTAGAAGATGCTAATCAGATTAGAAGCAGGAATTGTCATTCACTGTCAGTGAAATTGAGGCTTTTGGTGCTCTGTGTGGTGCCAGATTAACGCTTCTATCCTTCTGCACTGACCACGTTGTGAATTGGAAGACCCAGTACAAGCCATGTCATGGACATAGCAATATACAACCAAACTCTGTTCCTTGGAGCTGTATTCGTCAACTCTTGCAGTTGGTGAGAGCAGTTCACTTCCTCAGCTCTGTTTGCCAGCCCTTACAGGGTAAAATAAACCTGGCAATTGATCCTCAGTCCTAGTTTGTGCTTTTATATTGCTATCTTAAGCCCTGACATTGGGCAAAACATGACTGTGTCCTATGGCAGAGTCCAAAGGGATTATTCACTCTAGTTGAGATAGCATTGGGTAGCTAAACAGGGTGTGTGGTCCCCAAAAGATTAAATGTTGCATGTCCTTTTGGTCCTGGACTAGCTCTAGCCTTGGCAGAAGCAAGGGACCCACTAAGCCAAACTCGCTGTACAGACAGACCACGTTTCAAGGATGGAAGTAGTGCCCAGGCAGCACACAAAAGGAATGTTGAAATGGTAGGCAAAGTGAACTTGGCTCTGTTGGCCTCTTTGTGGTCACAGAAATCGCTCCTTGTGGTAATGTTGTATTTCTGTCAGGCACAGGGCCAAGAAGCTGTGTAACACAGACATTACTTTGGTTACATCTCTTTTTCATACCTTTTCCGTTGGAGGCACCTTTTGCTTAAAACAGTCCCTTCACTCTACCTTTCCTCCTAACTTCCCGTGCTTCTTCATGTCTGCTCAAGATTTTTAAAGCAATGAAGCTGTTGGAGAACTTAAATCCTTGCAACTGAGAGACAAGCTACTTAAACTCAAAGGTGGTAAGGCTTTTTTTTTTTTTTGAGATGGGGTCTCACTCTCTTGCCCAGGCTAGGGTGTAGTGGTGTGATCTCGGCCCACTGCAACCTGTTTCCTGGGTTCAAGTGATTCTCCTGCCTCAGCCTCCCAAGCAGCTAGGATTACAGCTAGCTACTCCCGGCTAATTTTTGTATTTTTAGTAGAGACAGGGTTTCACCATGTTGGCCAGCCTGATCTTGAACTCCTGACCTCAAATGATCCGCCTGCCTCAGCCTCCCAAAGTGTTGGGATTACAGGCATGAACCACTGTGCCCAGCCATTTGGAGAACTTCTGACCAAAATGTTTTACCTTCTCATTCAGATATTTTTAGTAACCAAAATAGGGACCCATGAAACTGAGAGAGCCTTTGGGCTGTCAGTTTGCAGTACATCAAGCATAAGTTGCTGAGGCTGAGCAAATCAGAAAGGTACCATGTTCATAACAAAGGACAAGAGCTCCTTACTTCTGAAACATTAACTGTGGTTAAAAACAGAAACTCTTCCTTCTTATATTAGTTGTCTATCAAAGCCAGGAAACTGGAGGATCACTGTAGTTAAGAAAAATTTTTTTAAAAATTAAAGACAGGGTATTGCCCTGTTGCCCAGGCTGGGGTACAGTGGCACAATCACGGCTCACTGCAGCCTCAAACTCCTGGACTCAAGCAATACTCTTGCCTCTCAGCCTCTCAAGTAGCTGGGACTAGGTGCATACCGACATGCCCAGCTAATTTTAAAAAATGTTTTTATAGAGACAGAGGTTTTGCTGTGTTGCCTAGGCTGGTATCAAATTCCTAGCCTCAAGTGATCCTCCTGCCTCAGCCTCCCAAAGTGTTGAGATTACAGGTGTGAGCCACCATGCCCAGCTAAAAAAAAATTGGGGGGACGCTTCCGCAAATAATGAAAAGGGAGGCAAAGGCACTGACTTTAAAAAGCTGTGGTTAAAATGCTATCAGTTTTCTCCGCTTTTCATTGATTGGAGAGTTGTAGAGAAACTTAGAGATCATTTTGCCTAACTCCCTTATCCCAAAGATAGAGACCGAAGCCTAGAGATTGCTCAAGATGTCATAACTCTGAGCATCTAGAATCCTAATGTTCAGTCCAGTGTTCTTTCTCCCTTACCACTCCTCTTCCCTGTCCCTCTACAATGGCAGTACCCAGGGCACAGTCAATAGACTACTATGGAGTGCTCCTATGTGCATATTTTTAGTATCTATCATTTTCTCTTGCCTTTTTTCTTCTATCCTTTCAGTGGTAGCAGCTGCCCTTTGTTAATCCCTGTAACCTCAGCTGAGAGAGCAGATGAAGCAAGATCCAAGATGCAGCTCAGTTCATCAAAGCCTCGCAGGTCCCCTCAGCTGCCTTTTCATGCCTGCCACGCAGACGACAGTAGAACAAAACCTGACCTGGTCTTTTGAACAGCTAAGAAAGCTCATAGTACTTTATCTTCTGTAGCTTACCACATTCTATCTGGTATTATAGTTATTTGTATGCAATTAATCACTCTTAGACTGTATGTTCCTGGAGGGCAGAGTACACTCATTCATATTTGTATCTTCCTTCTGCTCTTGGCACCTAACACAGTACCATGCACGCAGAAACAATAAATCATTGTTGAGTGAATAAGTAAGTCTGATTGTGGTGTTCTATTGCTTTTTCAGCAAGAAGTCAAACTGATGACCTTTAAGTCAGAGAAGCAGCAATGGAGCAGCATAATCAAAGTTCACCATCTTTGTTTTCAAGGTAGTCACATTATGAAATACTCTGACATGCTAGGCTAGGAAATGGCTATAACTGTTCTCCATTTGAGACTGGAGAAATCAGCTTTGCTCACAGGTAATACTTTGCCAAGTAGTTATGAAAAATATACTAGGTGTAATTAGTTGTCCTCAAAATCTAAATACACTTGTTGTAATATATGGAAATAGGAAGCAAGATAGAGAAGGTAAGTTTGAAATTCTGCACTTATCTGGATCTTTATCATCTGAGTTTATGTACTTTAAACCAAATACACTATTTTACTATGTCATATAGCAAAAATTGAAATATTCTTGGTTTAATGAAGCCTTTTGGATCTAATCCATATTTTTCATGAATGTTTGGAAAGGTAGAAACTTCTTTTTTTTTTTGCTTCAGTTAAATATAGTCTAATGACTGAAGGTTATTCAAAGCTTAATAATCAGTCTGTACACATTAAAGGGACTATTCACTGAGCTAATTTGTTTCTGAGCTCTGGTTGCTCTTTAATAAGTTCTTGGGTAGCTGGGCGTGGTGGCTCACGCCTGTAATCCCAGCACTTTGGGAGGCCGAGGCGGGTGGATCACAAGGTCAAGAGATCGAGACCATCCTGATCAACATGGTGAAACCCCATCTCTACTAAAAATACAAAAAATTAGCTGGGCATGGTGGCGCGTGCCTGTAATCCCAGCTACTCAGGAGGCTGAGGCAGGAGAATTGCCTGAACCCAGGAGATGGAGGTTGCGGTGAGCCGAGATCGCGCCATTGCACTCCAGCCTGGGTAACAAGAGCGAAACTCCGTCTCCAAAAAAAAAAAATATTAAGTTCTTGGGTAAAAGCTGCTTTTATTTTTAGTTGCTTTCCTCTGAAGCTGGGTGGAGAAGAGTGGGTGGGGGGTGGATGGTCGAATCAGCAGGCTGAGAGAATTCAGTGGTTTGCCTGTGGCTTCCTCTGCTGTATATCTGGTTTGCTACATCCGTTATGGAGCAATCTTGGTTTCTGTATCAGTTCCCATTGCACATTAGCACCTAGTCAGAATGGGAGTCAGTTGAATGTACACTTTAATTCCTGTTTTCTAGATCCTGTTTCACAGGTTGGATGCAACCAGGGTGAGAGTTGAACCTCTCGTGTTGCTCAATTAAAAGTAACACATTTGGCCGGGCGTGGTGGCTCACGCCTATAATGCAAGCACTTTGGAGGCCAAGGGGGGCGGATCACCTGAGGTCGCGAGTTCAAGACCAGCCTGACCAACATGGTGAAACCCCGTTTTATTAAAAACAAACAAGCCGGGAGCGGTGGCTCAAGCCTGTAATCCCAGCACTTTGGGAGGCTGAGGTGGGTGGATCACGAGGTCAAGAGATCGAGACCATCCTGGTCAATGTGGTGAAACCCCATCTCTACTAAAAATACAAAAAATTAGCTGGGCATGGCGGCGCGTGCCTGTAATCCCAGCTACTCAGGAGGCTGAGGCAGGAGAATTGCCTGAACCCAGGAGGCAGAGGTTGCGGTGAGCCGAGATTGCGCCATTGCACTCCAGCCTGGGTAACAAGAGAGAAACTCCGTCTAAAACAAACAAACAAACAAACAAAGTAACGCATTTGACTGGCACTGTTATCTTTCTGAAAGAGACCTGTGGGAAGGTGAATCCTCTGGGGTAGCTTAATATAAATTTGCTAACTTTCTGGGAGAGAGTAATAGGACTTACCCAGGTTGGTAATTTTTTTTTTCTTTTCTTTTTTTTTTTTTTTTTTTTGAGACAGAGTTTCGCTCCTGTTACCCAGGCTGGAGTGCAATGGCGCGATCTCGGCTCACTGCAACCTCTGCCTCCTGGGTTCAGGCAATTCTGCCTCAGCCTCCTGAGTAGCTGGGGTTACAGGCATGCACCACTGTGCCCAGCTAATTTTTTTTTTTTGTATTTTTAGTAGAGACGGGGTTTCACCATGTTGACCAGGATGGTCTCGATCTTTTGACCTCGTGATCCACCTGCCTCGGCCTCCCAAAGTGCTGGGATTACAGGCTTCAGCCACCGCGTCCGGCCTCAGGTTGGTAATTTTCTATTTTACCAGCTGCAATAATCAACTTATGATCATACTTGCTGATTCAAACAGCAGAGAAAAAAAATAAACTTACAGTAATTCTTTATCCATTACCCACCACCTTCCTTGACCTTCACCACCCTACATTTTGAAGCAAATCCTAGACTTCATTACATCTGTAATATTTTGGTATGTTTCTCTGTAAGATAAAGGTTCTTAAAATAACACATGATGGCTGGGCGTGGTGGCTCACACCTGTAATCCCAGCACTCTGGGAGGCCAAGGTGGGTGGATCACAAAGTCAGGAGATTGAGACCATCCTGGCTAACATGGTGAAACCCTATCTCTACTAAAAATACAAAAAATTAGCCAGGTGTGATGGCACGCACCTGTTGTCCCAGCTACTTGGGAGGCTGAGGCAGGAGAATTACTTGAACCCAGGAGGCGGAGGTTGCAGTGAGCCGAGATCGCGCCACTGCACTCCAGCCTGGGTGACAGAGCAAGACTGTCTCAAAAACAAAACAAAAAACACCAAAAAAAAAAAAAAAAAAAAACCAACCCACAGGTGACTACAGTACCAGTGTCATACAAACTTGCAATTTCTTAAAAAAAAATTTTTTTTTTCTTACGTACTATGATCACAGAATGAGCTGGCAATTTCTTTTTTTCTTTTTTTTTTTTTTTTTTGACACGGAGTTTCGCCCTTGTTACCCAGGCTGGAGTGCAATGGCGCGATCTCGGCTCACCGCAACCTCCGCCTCCTGGGCTCAGGCAATTCTCCTGCCTCAGCCTCCTGAGTAGCTGGGATTACAGGCACGGGCCACCACGCCCAGCTAGTTTTTTGTATTTTTAGTATAGACGGGGTTTCACCATGTTGACCAGGATGGTCTCCATCTTTCGACCTCGTGATCCACCCGCCTCGGCCTCCCAAAGTGCTGGGATTATAGGCTTGAGTCACCGCGCCCGGCGGCAATTTCTTAATATTAAGTATCTAGGCCAAACACAGTGGGATTACAGGGATGCCTGTAATCCCAGCACTTTGGAAAGCCAAGGTAGAAGGATCACTTGAGGCCAGGAGTTTGAGAAACCCTGGTCCACACTATGAGACTCCATCTCTTAAAAAATAAATAAATAAATAAATAAATAAATAAATAAATAAAATTAGCCAATATAGGCATCTGTACAGTCCTAGCTACTTGGGAAGCTGAGGTGGAGGGATGGTTTGAGCCCAGGAGTTCAAGGTTACAGTAAAATATGATCACATCTCTGCACTGTGGCTTGGGCAATAGAGCAAGACTCTTACCCCTTGAAAAAAGATAAAAATTTGTTGTGGAGGTTTCCCTCTACAAAACTTGAGTCTGGTTTACAATTAAAATTATCAGACTGGGTATGGTGGCTCATGCCTGTAATCCTGGCACTTTGGGAGGCCAAGGTGGGCAGATCACTTGAGGGCAGGTGTTCAAGACCAGCCTGGCCAACAGGGTGAGACTTCATCCCTACTAAAAATACAAAAATTAGCTGGCCTGGTGGTGCATGTCTAGTCCCAGCTACTTGGAGGCTGAGACACGATAACTGCATGAACCTGGGAGGCAGCGGTTGCAGTTAGCTGAGATCCACCACTGCACTCCAGCCTGGGTGACAGAGCGAGACTGTTTAAAAACAAAACAAAAACAAAAACAGGCAGATCACGAGGTTAAGAGATCGAGACCATCCGGGTCAACATGGTGAAACCCCGTCTCTACTAAAAACACATACACAAAAAATTAGCCTGCTGTAATGGTGCGTGCCTGTAGTCCCAGCTACTTGGGAGGCTAAGGCAGGAGAATTGCTTGAAACCAGAAAACGGAAGTTGCAGTGAGCCAGGATCGCACCACTGCACTCCAGCCTGGCAGTAGAGTGAGACTTCATCTCAAAAACCAAAACCAAAACCCAAACAAAACAAAAACAAAAAACAAAACCCCACCAGGAGCAATCGCTATGAAGGAGTCGCCAGAATTTCATGTTATTTCCTTCTATGAATTAAGCAGTTCACTAGAATCAAAGTGAGGCCTTAAACTTTTAATCTGTCTTTGACAAGTTTTAACAGTCAATTTTTCCAAGGTAAGTGACCACCTATAGACATCAAAAAAATATTTTATGGTATAGTGACTAAAAACATGAGCTCAAAGTCACATGGGTTTGAGTACCAGCTCCTTCATACATTACCTTTTAAAGCCTATTTCCCTTATTTGTAAAATGAGAATTAGCATAACTGCCCCACAAAGCTACCTTGATATTTAAATGAAAATGCAGGCCAGGCGTTGTGGCTCACACCTGGAATCCAAGCACTTTGGAGGCCAAGTTGGGTGGATCACCTGAGGTCGGGAGTTCAAGACCAGCCTGACCAACATGGTGAAACCCTGTATTATATGTAAAAAAATAAAAATAAAAAAAAGAAAATGCATATAAATGGCTCACACTCCTAGTGACTGACCTACAGTAAGTACCCAAATGAATACTTGTTGCTCAATAACCAAATCGGTGTAGTATGTGTATAATTAATGTTGTGGTTAGTTCCTCTGAATGCTCTCCTTGCTCCTGCTTTTCCTTCTTTTCACTTACGTAACATAGCATAGTCTTGTGGTTTTTTTTTTTTTTGAGATGAAGTTTCGCTGTTGTTACGCAGACTGGCGTGCAATGGCACGATCTCGACTCACTGCAACCTCCGCCTCCTGGGTTCAGGCAATTCTCCTGCCTCAGCCTCCCAAGTAGCTGGGACTACAGGCACGCACCACCATGCCCAGCTAATTTTTGTATTTTTAGTAGAGACGGGGTTTCACCTTGTTGACCAGGATGGTCTCGATCTCT